TAGTGTCATAGCTTGAAGCCCGAATGTCTAAAGCTTATTTGGTGTTTCAAGATGTATTCCTAAAGTTTAATTTATTGTTGACTGAAAAGGATTTCTTAAAGATTTGTTGATTGCTATTGAAGAACTCGAAAGGGAAAGTTTTTGAATGATACTGAAGATGATTTCAGATTGAAGATTTTGATTTGAAGATGGTTTGTTCAAAAGTGGTGATTGTTATTTTCAGATTCATCTTTTTCAAAAGTTGAGAAAGTTTGATCGTCTTTATAAAGGAGATTTTGTTTAAAGACTTATGATTTGGGGGAGAATGTTAAATTCAAAATTTAGTTGAAGTCTCATTTTAAAGAGTTTTGATAACTAATTATTTGTGATCGCGAATTAAAAGGAGGAAATTGTTAGGCCCAAAATATGTTGTATCTAAATCACTGAGTACGAAGACGAGAGTGAAAAATGAAGAGGTCAAAGCTTCCAAGTCAAAGTCAAAGTAGTCAACAATTCGTGTAAAGTAAATGTTTGAAATTGTAGTTAGACTTTGTTTTGGTTAATTCATATAAATACTTTGTAATGTTTGTAGTAGAAGAGAGAGCTCATTGTATAAGATTTACATGTTCATAATTGTAGAGAGAGAAACTTATCTTAAAGAGATAAAAAATCAATACATATGATTTAAGTTTAACTAGTTGTGTACCCGTGCAATGCGGCGGGATGATTTTTTTTTTTGAAAAGATGTAAGCGGACATATTGATTACGGAAAAAGGTTTGTATTCGAAATTGTGAGGCACAACATTATTGATTTGACAATAATAGAAACAATCCAATAATCCATTTGATGTTGAAATTTGACAACAGTTTGATTTTAATTTGGTTATGCATAAGATGTAGTATGGAACAATCTAAACTCAATAAAAAGCAGGACATGACCCTCCTTAAGATTGATCAAAATTGCACAAGTCCAGCAACCTTCCTTTATTGTATAGCATAGCATACCAGTAACTCTTATTTCCCAGATTTAAGACTTTTATGAAATTTGGTTTATAAAGTAGTATAGATATAGGTAAACCGTAGATAAATAAAAGGGATATAAAAGTAACATGAAGATACACTCAAATATTTACAACATAATACAACCAGTGGGGTCATAAAATTCATTATACATGCATCATCTAGTTTTCTACGTCCATATTTCCCTAAACAATCTAAAAGAAGAATATAGTAAAAGAATTACATAAAAATCTGATTTAATGCAGCCATAAATAGGAACCATTCTCCAAAATTCCTTCATCCTAACCAAGCTTCGATTAGATATGTTGTGATGCAACCATGAAGCATACACTTTCTTTGTCAGCCAGAAGATTAAAACCTGATAAAACCCAAAATTCAGCTTAGTAAACAACAGATGAAGTACAATGACTTCAAACTAGATCTAAAATCATCGACTACACAAACCAGCAGATGCAACAAATGGGTAAACACAGGTAGCAGGAACAACATACCAGAAGATGGGAAAATTAGGAGAAAGTAGTCCCAAAAAAAAACCAAAATCCAGCAAGATAGCACTAACAGATCAGATCAAAAATTAACCAAGTCAGCAATTGTTAAGAGGAGATTGAATTGGAAACTCCTGGTGAAAGAATCTAACCGTATAATAGTAGTTGTGTGAACCTTCTTTTTCATACTAACACCAACCATATAAAAACTAAACATCTATAATTATACATATCTAACATATGTCCTATGCAATTCAATCTCTCTAAAGTAATTTGTAAACCAAAATTAGTCATTGAGAACCTCTTATTTTGCAATGTTGAAGAAGAGAGATCCGAAAGAAGAGACTTTGACCAATAATGTCTATTCATCAACATGTGAATATCTATAGTACGATGGCACTAAGAAATGACAGTAACAGTTTATCAAACTCATATATCACAACCGACCTTTTAAAATGGTAAAGATGTCATTAAACATCATGAATATTGCTATCATCACCGGGGTGTTACATGGGCCTCTTAAAATATGATACTATGAAAAAGATAGCTAGATTTTAGATTAAGATTACTTGGGTTCTTGAAAGCCCAATGATGGCTTAAAGCAGAAAAATTTATCCCATTTCCACAATATAACATCAAAAGATTTCATCGTTGGCTTTAATTGTTCAAGAACAGAGATAGGGAAACGATCAATAAATAAGTATAATGATATACCCAACACTATTGTTAAATAACTTTTCCTCATTTAGACAGTAAGCGTTTGGTAGATGACTCCTAAATAAAAATAAATTTCTTACCATTTAAATGAATAAAAGTTTACCTGAGAATTTTTTCTTGTTGAATGGAACGCTTCCAACTAATATTTCCTGCAACAAAAGAGACTGTTCTTTACTGAAGGCCCACAAACAAACTAACTGCAATAAACCATTCATCAATATTCAAAATCGTTCTTTCATTCCATAGTTCTTTGTACAAAATAACTGTACAGTGATATGGACAGATTCCTCTATTGGGGGCATAAAAAATAATACAAAATGCTTGTAGTGAAACTTGCTATAGAGATTGAATTTTATAGCAAAAGTCTTTGAAGATCTGAGGTATAAATCATGATTTATATCTAGAAACAAGTACCAACAAACATATTATGTCATCTAACCTTAGATAGTTTGGTGAAGTTCAATGGAATGTTCAAAATAACATCATCTTTTGGAAATGAAATCCATATGAATCCATTGATATAGCCATGCACATGGAGCCATTGATCCAAAACCATCAAATCAATCACAATTTAGAGCCAAGGATCATAATTTATATATATCACCAACTTCAATCCAAACCATRGAGAACATGAATCACAAATTGGAAATCAAAAAACATGAAAAAGGAAACAGTGGTTGGTTGAATTACTGATAACATGAAGGTCCATCTCAAGCTCAATGTGTATAAGAAGTTTAAATCCATCCATATCATACATATGAACATGAATAATCGCTTCATCAAAACCATTTTTGTTATCACTCGATAAGGGTTAAGCAATTTCAGCTCTATTGCATTTAGTCACTGCAAATTTAAACATCTTTGAATCAATTACTTCAAATCTATACACAAATCAAAAGTACAAGAATAAACTGGTTCCAATTGGGTTACAAAAGCCATTCAAAATCAAAAAATTAAAAGCAAATTGTAAGCTATCTTTCAGAATCTGAATGAAGTATTGTGTATAGAAAAATAATTAAGGGGATGTTTACTAAACGCTTACTTGGGAAGTGCTTACCGGGTAATTTTCCTTACCGGATGAAAATGGAGAGTCTTACTTAGTAAGTAAGGGTGACGACTCTTACCCGTGTAAGTGCTTACCGGGTAAATTGTTGCATATGATACCATTTTAATGTACTAATATCTTTCCCGGTAAAATAAATTATAATGTTGACTCTTGACGATAAATGTTTACCGGGTAAACATTTAGGTAAACAGCCCCTAAGTTCAATTGGTACAAAGATAGCTAGAGGAATCAACTTCACTTCAGAATGTAATTTCATGGAAGAGTGAAACAATCTGGGTGTAGAAAGGAAGCTAAAAAGATCTCTCTAACATCTATATCCAATGTCCTTGATCATAAAAGTAAACCTTGAAAGGTAAAAGGTTAAGACCAATTCAAAAGAAAATGGATGTGGCAATGTGCAATAAGAAGAACCAGGCATGACTCTATCCTCACAAAGCCAATATAGCAATGTCAAATAATAACGACACTGGGTGGGTTGAAGATTTCTGTAAAATTTTCTTTGATGTACTCCCAAAAACTTTGATGAACTCCCAAAAACTTTGATGAACTAAACACTTTGAAAGTTTTGAAACATAATCCCCTATAGTGGGTTGAAGATTTCTGTAAAACTTCAAGCAGCAAATTTATCTTGGCTAAGTTAGAACCAACGGTCAAAAAATACTTGGATAACATCGAATAAACTATGTATATGCAATTACCAGAAGGATTTGTCGAGCAACGGTAAGCACAAGGATTGATGAAAGTCCCTGCTTCCAACTAATGCAGCTCATACCCTAACAAATCAAGGAGCAACAAACCTGTAAATTTGATTCGCAAAAACTTTGATCGCTTCACAAAATCGCTTGAATCGCTCCACACAAACTAAATCAAGTAACAAAATAAACCCTAAGTTAACTCAATCAGATGACCCAGTAAACCCTAACCTAACTCAAAACCATGTAACAAAATAAACCCTAACTTAACGCAATAAACTAACTCACCTCCACAAAATCGGCTGAATCCGTGACAAGAGCGTGAATCGTGCCGTGCTTGATTTGAGAATCGCGTGACAAGAGCGTGAATCGTGCTTGATCATTTATAAACACTCCAAGTCGCCTGAATCGTGCTTGATCATTTATAAACACTCTAAGTCGCCTGAATCGTTGTCTTGGAGAATGAATCGTCATCTCTGTAATCGTGCGGGAGAGAGCGCGATAGAGAAAGCGCCATAGAGAGAGCCGGTCGTTGGGCAGAGGTGCGTTGGAAAGAGGAGCGTTGTTTGGAACTTTGAGGCGATAGAGGGCCAGCCAGATATGTGTGCTTAAGGGTAGTACTAAATGCATAAGGAAGTTATACATTTTTAAGACTTTAAGACTTTCTGTATTAAAGGGTAGTACCTTGTACATGTTAAGGTGTTTTTAAGACTTTGAGCAAATTTGTTTTATAAAGTAGTATAAATTGTTGTTATTGATTGTTTTGATTACTTGTTACTTGATCATGTGGGATTTTCAAAAAATAAATAGGTTATTTATAAGAATTTAAAAATTTAATATGAAAAATAATGATAAGGATACTTAAAATACAGTTACTTTTATTTCATTTTAATTTAATAAGTTTAATTGTTGTTGTTGATTGTTTTGATTACTTGTTACTTGATCATGTGGGATTTTCAAAAAATAAATAGGTTATTTATAAGAATTTAAATTTAATATGAAAAATAATGATAAGGATACTTAAAATACAGTTACTTTTATTTCATTTTAATTTAATCAACCAATATATGAACTAGACAAAAAAAAGAGGTGGGATGCTTTGTTCGTAACAGAAGAAATTAGTTGGATCAACTACACCTTTCACCATTGCCAACCTCCTAAAATTGCCCTTAAAATAAGTGATCCCCCATCTTGCAGCTTGCAAATAACTTGTACCACACGCATTACCATTTGTACCCAGATCCAAATCCCTAAAGTTCACATAAGCTTCTCTTGGATTCTTGGAAACAAATGGTGTCATCTTCTCATACACCATTCTTACCGAAGCAACCTTCTTTTCAGCTGCATCTAGCCCTTCTTCATTCCATCTCATGATGTACTGTATGATATACAAATTTCCTTCCCTATGTGGGTATGGAGTCTCACTTTCATCGATCTTGCTCATCCTTCCACCGTGTGGCTCTATGGCTAAAATCAAGTTTTCTTCCAGACACCGTTTCCAGATTTCTTCTAATGTTTCTTCTGGTATTGGCTTCTTCACGTAGTCTGATTTATATTTGTAGTAACTTTTAGGCCATGGTATCCTTTCTTTGAGAGCTTCGATGCTTTGTCCTCTTAAATAAACTGAATAATAAACTACTGATTCGATCCAACTCATCTCGATGCAATCTGTTTCATGTAATCCCAGTTCAGAAAATCTATCATTGACTTCTGTCATCAGCTCCACTGTCGTCCCCAAGAATAACCCATTGAATGTTACTAGCATTGTTTTATTCTCTTCTTGATCTAGCACCGAGACCGGAGTTACTATCAAGTTAATGAAGAAATCCTCACTGAGATTGTGCCCAACATACTGCCACTTGTTAACAACCTGAGTAGCAGCTTGGTCTAGCGTCTTAGAAAGACTGAAAACTGTAACTTTTGGTGGAACAGAAACAAGATTGATCTTCCAAGCTAATATAACACCAAAACTAGCTCCCCCACCTCCCTTAATTGCCCAAAACAAATCTTCCCCCATCGAATCTCTATCTAGGATTTGCCCATTTACATTCACGATCTGTGCATCGATTACATTATCAGCAGACAACCCATATTTCCTAGCCATCACACCATATCCTCCACCGCTTAGATGCCCGCCAACGCCCACCGACGTGCACTCCCCATTCGGGAATCCAAGAAGATTACTTTTTTGAGACACCCAATAAGACAGTTCGCCGAGAGTTGCTCCAGATTCGACCCATGCAGTTTTATCATCTACATCAACGGTTACTGATCGAAGTTCGTTGAGATCAAGAAGGATGAAAGGGGTACTGTGATCAAAGGAGGTGAAGGAAAGGCCTTCATAGTCATGACCACCACTGCGGATTCGGATTTGAAGTCCAGATTTGGCGCTGCAGATGACTGTGGATTGGACATGGGAATACGACAAGGGTTTAATTATTGCCGATGGCTTTAGGGTTTCAGGGGTGTCAAATCTGAGGTTTTGGATGGTGGATTGAAGAACAGTAGAGTATGAAGCATCATTAGGAGTGATTATAATATTTGAGAAGTTGGACGAAATCCTGTGGGAGATGCAATCAAGAAAGTGATCAGAGGTGGGATTCGAATTTGTTAACGAGAAGAATCCAAGGGAAAGGCTTAGAAAAATAGATACGAGTTCATACATAAAGAACTTCAACTCCATTTTTGTGTTTGCTTCTTCTTGTTTTCATGAGCGTGAAAACAACTTTATTTATAAACTTAGTAGTCTTATCGTCATGTTTTCTGAGTCGTCAACAATACGTAAGCATTTTTCATTTGGATGGAAACAATCTCAACGATTTGAGTCATTTGACAATGACTTCACACCAAACACACAAAGTCATTGATAAAACCTATCACAAAAACGTCTTCTAAAACTTTTTTTTATTCTATTTTTAAAAAATTAGTTGACTTCAATGCATAAGCCATTTCCATTTGTAGTTTTTTACTATTTAAAAAGTCAATTGGAGAAGGGTTATTTATTAAATACTTTTTGTTTGATGACTTATTCCATACCAACTTGTTATAGGAATACTAACTATTTTCATTTTCATTTTCATTTTAGGCCCTCTTTTAATATAATTTTCATTTTAAATTTTAATAAATTTTGATTAATTAATTTAATTCATTAAAAATCACTAATAAAGCCAAATAATTTTTTTAACAAAATACATTATTAAAAATCTCTCATCAAGGCAATCGAAATGTCATCAACATCGAATACCTAAAAATATAAAAATCATATAATCTATTCATCGTCTTTCATTTTTTTTAACGAATTGACTTTTTGTGTCCTTATCATTTTATTTTTGTATCAATAAGTTTTATTGTATACTCTTTTTAATGAAATACAAACTTCATTTCGAAAGAAAATAAAATATCAAGTAATTTCTAAATATCGCTTGGTAATGTTTTTAAATTTAATTTTTAAGTAATTTTTGTTTTTGAAAGTACGACGTGAACTTTGAAATGGCAAATTAAATGACAGACTTTTATAAAACATTTTAAATAGATGATGGTAGATTATAATGGTATTGATGAAAAAGCTTTTTGTAATGGAGAAGGCGCGCACACTCTACATGGAGAGGAAACACTTCTATTTATACCCATTGCATTAAATGCACATTTAATGCAATATGGTAGGGTTAGAGTGTGTGTCAAGCCTTAAGGGGAAAACTTGTCCTTTGCTAAAGTGAATATTACAAAAAGCCTATTCAAGAGCAGACATCATTACCTAAAGTTGGTGGGTAATAGAGTCAACTACTCAGCTCCATACCGTACTAACATTTAGAAATGGTAAAGGTTTGTCCTTTGTGTGTATAAGGACAAGACAACAACAATCGTGCTTGGCAAGCTTCTTTTGTTCGTTGAATGTTGGAATAACCTGGAGGTCTCTTCAACATTAGCTGAGGCTTGGGCAGTCTTCACACATATGTTGACAGGCTTGTAATCACTGAGTACCGGTTCAGATCACGTACTCGCCAGTCTCTAATCTTCAGTTTCAGTCTTCGACATTGGCTGAAAGTTCTTTGGTGTGAGTGTTGTCTTCTTGAAGTATCGTTGTCGCTGATTGAATTACAACACAAGTTCTTCAGCAATCACTAAACAGGGTTAGTGAAGATCGCTGGAACTAAAAAGACAGAAACATAAATACTTCGTATATAAGTAAAAAGAGATTATCATCAAATCACTAAGAGAGATGATCAACAATTTCCCCATAATCGATGATAACAAGACAACATAAAGAAAGTTGTCTTTCAAATAATAGTAAGGAAAAGTTACATACAAAGTACATGTCCCTTTTTACTATTTTGGGATCTTTTTCAGTGAATCGGTCTTTTCCTAAAGAATTTTCTTAAGTCAAATTTTAGAAAACTTAAAATGATAGAAACTGAAACTGAAAGCGAAAGCTTATTCACTGACTTATAGATTGTCAGTGAATGTAAAAAGTAATACTGGAACTTATAGACTTGTGTCCCTATTACTTTTTTCAGAGATCTTTTTGAGTGAAATACAAGAAACACTTATATTATTATCATTGGAAATATTACAAGTAGTTCAGTACATGTCTAAAACTTACAGACTAGAAGGTTTATTACTAAAAGTAGACATAGTAAATAGATTTACAAGGAAAAGTGAACAATATTACAAAGAGAAACTAATCTAGAACACTTAGATCTATGCAACTAGGTACATCTTCACCAAGGTTCTTTCTACGTAGGCATTCTCTTCGTATCTTCAGGTCCATGACTTTTCCATGCATACTATCATCTATCCAGAGTAAAGGGTAAACCAAATGACCCATTGGACATAGATGTAGCTCTGACATTCTCTGAAATATGACTTCATCTTCATAGTCAAGGAATATAACTCCTAACTCAGGCTTAAAATGCACAGAGTTGGGTGTATAGGGACCTTATCTGGCAAGTCAAGATTCAACATAGAAATGTCTATACTCTCATGTTCCGTCAAAATTTCATCTAAGGAGAACCTTGTTTCATGTTTGTTCCTTAGGAATGGTCCATCATTAGGATTATAGAGCTTTTTCTTCTTCCTTCCACCTTTCTTCAGAGAAGGCCTGTCAGGGACTGCGACATACCTGGACATCCGTTTGATGAGATCGCTGATGATGTCTTCGATTATCGGCTTATGTCTTGACTTGGATCGTTGAATGGCTTGCCTGATCTCCAGCCATTCGTTGTATCCATAGCGACGAAAGTGGAAGGGTACTCGGTGATGGCATTGAGATTATCCCTGGTGATGAGCATTTAGATCAGTGTTCCACCAGTTTTTGAACATTCGCTGATGCTGACGTTGATGATCGGGTGGGGACTGACTCTCTTCTTTAGCTTTGCTTCGCTCCAGCACTTGTCCTTCTCAGCCAGCTTCAGGTTCTTCTCATGCTCAGCTTCTGCAATGGAAAGAAGTTTAGCATGGGCTTGGACAGCGTTCACCTTCTTCTTGGACTTTCTCTTAGAGAGAATCTTCTCAGCTAGTGACTTGGCCAGCTTTAAGTTGTCTTCAGTCTGCTTCCTCTGAAGCTCTAGCTCTTCTTTAGACCTTAATGCCTCGAGTCTTTCAGCTTCTGACAGGAAGTCAAACTCACCACCACTAGGTACGAAGAGGGATTTTTTACTCTTGTCTGGTTGAGTGACTCCTTTAGTTGAGCCATCTGCTGGTCAGTGGGAGCACTGGAGACAAGGTTTTTAGGAACCCACTCCAGTCGACAGTAGGTAGTTGATGAGATCTGAAGTTGAAAAAGATAAGTTACTACTACCTAAAAGGTAGAGTCTTCAAATAAGGGTTGAGGGATATTGAAAAATACCTTCAGATTTTCTTTTTCAGCGACCGCTTTGCCTTTCAACTTGGGGCCTTGTTTTGTTGATGGAGCGGACTCTTCTTCCCTTTGCTCCCCCTGGGATGCAGAATCCCTGAGGACGACTCCCTTGGTGGTGGTTGTTGGCTTTTGATACTGGATGGTGAAGTCATCTTTATCATCGTCGTCATCATCACCATCTAGGTCACTTCTAGGGTCTGGAAGATCAGGTTTGCCATCTTCGTCTTCATCATCATCATGACTAGCAACGGGTGCAGAGGTGATGAGAAGATCATCTTCCCTTGGGATGGCATCAACTCCCTCAGTTGTAGCAGCTTCATCGGAGGTTGGGATTACATGAGCAACTTCAGCCTCAACTCTAGGAGCTTCAGCTTCAGCTGCAAGGATTGCTGGAGCAGCAGCAGAAGATGGTCCAACAACGTTGGACCTCATCTTCCCCTCTCTGGCTAAGACTTGGAAGTATAAGCCAGAGACTCCGTCCAAGCGCTGATGCTGGAGAACCATCATTTCCTCTAGCCTTGACAGAGCACTGGCTAGAGTTGTCGTTGCTTCACGCGTCTCATTAAGCTGAGCACGATCATCAGCAGAGAAGGAAGGCAGGATCACTGGAGCTGGTTGACTGACATTATCCAGGATCTGTTGAAGAAGTTCCGTCTACTGAAAAGATAGAGCCTAAGCATCATCAGCCCTGCTGGAGAGAAAAACAATGGCCTCAGCGTTGGCTCAGACAACTTCTTGGAGAGTCAAGAGATGACTCTTTACTTCTTGAGCATTGAATTTGATAGCTAAGAGGTCCGCATCAAGTTCAGCCTTGCGAGGCATCTCTTGGTGAACTTCAGCCACGTAACACCCCAAAATCCATACATTGCATATAACACATATTTCATACATAGAATACATGTTTTCCCACATAAGTCCATAATACAAGAGACTAAAATATAGATCTCAAAAATTCCAAAAAGTACATGCTCTTGTATCTCTATATCTCTACTTCAAACATGGCTAAATAAGATCTTCATGTAGCTTAAACACATAGGGAAATAATTCACAGAATGCTCTTTCCCTTATTATCATTACCTGCACACATATTTTGAAAACACAAAATGAGGGTTAGACATGAATGTCTAGTGAGGTTCCCTTCTTATGTAATGCAGGGTGAAAACACCAAAACATTTTAAATCGTTCATTCTATATAGCAAAGAGTAAAGTTCATAATCTGTATCGGGCTTCTGGTTCCATAACTAGACTTGAAATATATTTCAAGAAACAGGACCAGAGTGTCTCTGGTTCGTCTACCGGAGTCTATGGTTCTTCGACCAGAGCCTCTGGTTGTACTAACCAGAGCTTCTGGCTCATGTAATTTCTTTTAGTTAAGCTTCCAACTAATAAGATAACATTTTTCATAAAAGAATAGTTAAAAAGGGTTCATGCTCAACCAGAGCCTCTGGTTGTACTAACTAGAGCTTATAGTTCAACAGACATGACCAACCAAAGCCTCTGGTTGTACTAACTAGAGCTTATAGTTCAACAGACANTGTACTAACTAGAGCTTATAGTTCAACAGACATGACCAACCAAAGCCTCTGGTTGTACTAACTAGAGCTTATAGTTCAACAGACATGACCAACCAGAGCCTCTGGTTCAACGTGTAAGTCGACCAGAGCCCCTCTGGTCTGTCTTTAGTTGAAAAATACTAAGTATAACATCCTTTTTCTTAAAACTTCTTAAAATACAATTTCGACACATAAGCTCTTATAAATAGATGCAGAGCCTTTGGTCCAATTAGTGCATTTAGTAAAAACTCGCATATTCCTCAATTTCAATAA